ACGCAGATTTTCGCTACATGTTCTTAATCGATTTATTTATAAGAAATACTGACATTTTTTACAAGACAGTATTAGCGCGAAACAATAATGTAATCGCTATATCGCTGCCTGGGATATTCATATTCAAATCGAATTTGACTACTTCGTATACGCACGTGAAATGTACATTTATGAAAACTAGTAGACATTTTAGATTTGAGACGTTCAACAATAAGGGAATTAAGAGAACGTATACTGACGTAAGTGATAAAGTGCTTTTCTAACTCGAGCTTCCAAGCTAAAAGTTTGAACAAATTTTGGGCAAAGATGTGCCTATTCAATTGTTCATTTCTCGTGGACGCTAAGCGTTCGAACATACCTCGATAGAATTTCTTTGGTCATTTTCTTCTAAACATTTTTTCTCTTTAATTGACGCGCGAGCGAGTCCAAAATATAAAAAAAGAAAGTGTAATTGACAATATAATCAATCAAAATTAGAATGTATTATTGTTGAATGTAATACGCTACGTATTTTTTCTCCAAATAGTAAAGAAACAACACATCAATTTGTTGATTTTTAAGTAAAAATTGTACAAGTTACGATTTTAATATTCTTATGAGCAAATGTGTCTTTTTCATAAGACAATGAATTAAGATATGCCGTCTTAATACAAGTTGTCTTTTTCAGTATTTATCAATTTTTCATCGTTACATGACAAGTCATCTTTAATCTCATTTGTAGATCATGCTGCTAGTGAAGCAATATCAGTTGAATCCTAAGGTTTCTCTTCTCTTACTGTGAATTATGTTAAAAGGCATAACATGAACAAACAATACGATTAATAGTATCATTACAATTACAGTAGTAGTATTCATTGAAAACGTACCAAGCCTTTTATGGTCACTTTGGTTGGATATACAATATTGCTACTTTTATAAGTAATCGCTGTTCTCATAAAAAGTGCAACATAAGTCGATGGTGCTCTCATATTCCAACGAATATAATAGTTTACCCTCTAATGACGTTAATAACTCTTTCGATGTATTTATATGATATTCCTCGACAATACAAGAAAGTATTAAGGTAATGTACTTCTAAGGGCACAATTATGAAATTCGTAATTCGACCCAAACTCCGTGAACGATGAAATGTATGTAAAATGAGTGATTGTAAAGTAGAGCTATTATTGTTTTTATTGTACTATTTTACAACGTAGGAGAAAACGAATTGAATTATAACCATGGAGTTTCAAAAAAATTCAATTCTTCCTTACGGTATCGTAATGCTCATAATTATTTGAACATGAAATTCTACTTCAATTTTTTAATTGTCTTCATTCTTGTTACTACGAAAATTACTTTAATCAAATCAGCAAGCATATTATGGAAATGGCGAATATAAATAATTTATTATGAATATAAATTCTTAGCATTCCCCTTTAATGAATTTTGTAATCAGATAGTGAAAACAGAGTCCATATTATTTGCAATAAATAATTCTCCAAATAATTATGAGTGATACTCTATATGAAATTCTAGTGTACAAATAATGATCAGGTTTAAAGTGTCAGAAGTTGATAAAAAAAAATATTGTGTATACATACCTTTTTACATGTAACTTTCAGTACAGGTAGAATCTTCTAAGAAGTAAAACAATGATGGACTTGTTAAGAGTGCCTTGACATATCTTTGTTATTATACAAGTATTTAATTACTGAATCTTATTTATGTGACACTTCCTTGAATTCCAATGAATCATTCAATACCGATGCAGTTACAGTAACTCTACTTTAGCGGTATATTAGTAAATTACGTATCCTTTATATTATTCGGAAATGCATGATGATTAGATCTAAATAACAGAAAATGTTATGGATATTTTTCTATCGAGGATTCAACGAGGAGAGTATAATTATAATATTTATTAATTACAATAGATATTACTAACAATACGATTAGAGACGACGACAGTTGCTACTTGTATATTTAGTCTGGGATGGTGTCACTGTTCACAGACATGTAATTTTATATTGATCTTTGTAATCATTGTAGATATTTTGTGTAATGTATTTTTTATTGATATTTATTAAAACACATTTTGATACTAAATTATTTGTAATCCAGTTTCGATTCCTCCTTTCTCGTCAAGTTTGCGAAAAGTAAATCAACTAACGCTCGAAAAAATTCCTTATCTTATTAAAAGTGTAATTCAGTACATGAAAGTAAAACTCAATATTCACTATATCATATAAGTGGTATGGATTAAAAATAATTACGAGAACCTATTCAAGGGCCAAAATGTACACGCCAGCTATTTTCTAAAATACGATATTCTTTTTAAATGTGGTATGCCTAAATTCATGAATTATCGATAACGTTGGGCACGGCCCTGAAATGGTACGGACATTCCCCAACGCCTAAACGAAGATTTTTATGATACGCAACATTCATATGAATTTTAAATCTACTGTGTTGTATTATCATCACTTGAAGTCGCAATAAAATATATAATAAATTGAATTTCTATTAACAAATTGAAATTCTTAAATTATCGGTAATGTAGAAGACGACGACGAAATGGTAATGGGGCTCTAGTGCCTCTAAAAATTGAGCTACAAAAATACATTAGATGCTGGGTCTACTGCTAATACATCACCTGTGATTCTAGCTTCAAAATTCTATTTCGAAGTTTACAAATAATAGAGCAAATTTTATGATGGACGCGAGAAGACGTGATAGAGAACAAATTGGGTTATGTGGTGTTGATAGAATTTGGGGTAAATCACCAACGCGAATCGAAGAGTAAGAAGTTATAATTGTATTCTGAGTTATTAGGTCTTCATAATTTTAATAAATTTATTATGCATCAATATCAGTGACTTTAAATATATATTTATTTTGAAGCACATCATGTTTGTTGTGTGTTCATATGATAACCACAAACTTTTGTTGCAGTTCTGATGAAGATGAGGAAATTAATAAACACAAGGACAGTATTATTCAAAAAGACAGAAAAAGAAAACATGAAATGAAAAAGAAGGTACAATAGTATTATTTTATGAATTATAATTAGTTAATTTGGTATACGTTCATATTATAATTATAAAATTCTTATTCCTTTTTTAGAAAAGTAAGAAACTGAAGAAAGAGAAGAAGTCCAAAAAGGAGAAGAAAAAGAAACGTAAAAAGAGTAAGAAGAAGTCAGACAGTAGTTCTGATAGTGATTCAGAAGGATTAGAATGGGTGGAAAAGAATGGACTTAATGATAAAGTAAAAGTTAAAAAAGGATCCAGTTCAGATGACAGTGGTGATGAGAGTATATTAGGTCCAGTTCAAAAACCACATGTAACATTATCTGCTAAAGACTTTGGTAAAGCACTTTTGCCTGGAGAAGGTGCTGCTATGGCTGCATATGTTGCGGAAGGAAAACGTATACCTAGGAGAGGTGAAATTGGTTTAACGTCAGAAGAAATCGCTTCATATGAATCTGTTGGTTATGTTATGAGCGGTAGCAGGTAATATACAGTTATTTTATTTACACTTGTTCTTCATCAAAATTGTATAAAGAGAAGACTAAAATTAATATTTATATAGTATTGAAAACAAATATAAATATCTAATGTGTTTTTTTCTTCTGCATAGACATCGGAGAATGGAAGCTGTCCGTATTCGTAAGGAAAATCAAATTTATTCTGCTGATGAAAAACGAGCATTGGCTATGTTTAGTAAAGAAGAGAGACAAAAACGAGAGAATCTTATTTTGGGACAGTTTAGAGAAATGGTTAATCAGAAATTGGCACAGGAGCAGAAAAATAAATAAGTCAGTTGTTTTGTATAAAAAGATAAGTGACCACTTTTATTTCATATTGCAATGTGATGATAAAGAATGAATGATAAAATGTTACTTGTATATATACAAATTTATGCATATAAACTCTGATATACATGTAAATATATTACATTAATTGAAATAATGTAGAGTTATGTAACTAATGCTCGAATTATATATTCTATTTTATACTTAATAATAGAGAACTAGTGAACATGTCTAATTATATAAAGAATTATAACTATATAAAAAAAATCTATACTTTTTGATTACTTTCCCAATCTAACCATCCTCCAGTGTAGTTATATGCTCTAAAACATAAATAAATATGTTTGATTAGAGTTTAATACAGTAAAGTACATATGGCTTCCTGAAACTCAATAATATTTGACAAAATTTAAGTACTTTTCGTATCCAAGTTTTTGTATTTCTTCCTGAACCATTGCACTTCTTTTACCAGATCTACAGCTTAATATAATTTTTGTATCTTTTGAAGGCTTCTTTTTATCATATTTATTTTTGAAATCTTTTTCAGATAGAGTTAATAAAGCATTCGATACATCTCCCACTGAAATAATGTGCTGCATTAATTATTGTTTTATGTTTTATATTTAAATAATACTTTAATGAGTACAATGTAAAAATGTATATACTTGGTATATGAATACTTCCTGGTAACTTTCCAGTTTCGTCAATTTCATTTTGTTCTCTAACATCTATGATCAATACACTGTCATCTTTTTGGGCTTCTAAAATATCTTTATAATTCAGATTGAGATTTTTTAGATCACCTTCGGCCATAGTTGTAGAATTAGATTTAGAGGAGGTTGAAGTTGAAAAATATAAAACTGATTGGTCTAAAAAATTATTTGACAGAAATAAATAAATATTAGCAACTTCGAAAAGTATATAGCAACGAACATTTTAACAAGTGTAAAATTTTACAAGAGATTTTATCATATAAAATATTATTATATTAATATGAATTAATAAACATATGCATCGATTACTTTTTAAGAACTGAATAAAGTACATGAACATAAAATAGTTAATGGTATTTTAAAAATTACCGTGAACAGAAAATTTATATAATGTAGTTTTTAACAATTCATTATAAATAAATGTTTTTTTTATAATATTAGAGTTGCGATAAAACGATCTGAAAGGAACTAACACTCTGCAAAACTGACATGTTTTGCAATAAGTGGTAATTAATTTGCAAGTAATTGACATATTTCTGGTCTATACACAACGATGCCAAAACAGATGTAATTCCACTGTGCTACTGGACATTTAAATATCCTGTACATGTGGAAATACTATAAGTTAAGGTAAGTTCTAAACTAACTTCTACTTTACAAATATTATAATATTTATCATATTTTACCTTTTAATTCATTACATTACTGCCGTATAATGGTGTTTTCTGATGACGTTAAAGATAAGATAACATTATCATTTTGTATCAATTTTCCTCGAAGTAGCAATAATGACACTAAAGCGTAACGATGAACATGGCATAAGAATTCACGCTTTAAAAGAGAAAATGATGAAAATTCTTATACGATAATTTAGATTATACATAAGATTATTATTTAATAATAGTGTTCATATGCAGCGCGTACTACACAATAATACAACAAAAACCCATCGTTAAAACAAGCGTTTAAACTTGGTTTACTAATGTATCGACGAAACAATGAACTTGGCATAAATTTCTGCTTCGAAACTAAAGTATAAAAGTCTTTATTTGGCGTGTAAAAAAAAGAAAGAAATCTTCGTTCTTATTATAATGGAGGAAAAAAAAGGTTACATGAAGATGACATTTTTTGTGCATTGCTTTACAGTGAATCATCTACGGATGAAGAAAAGAGTTGGGAAAGATTAGAAGAGTCAGGAAGAGCGTATCCCGTTTTCGTATACGTCGCACCCTGATGAGGAATGCGGGAACTAGCGATTTTTATTTCTCGTGCGTGGAGCAGTAAAGTGTACTAATTTATTGAAATAATTACGACACTCAGCCCGTTTTTGCACCTTCGCATACTGTGAGTAATTAGAGAACAATCTTGTATGGCCATCTGTTTACTATTTGATAACGCAGCATGTGAAAATCCTTGTCGGACACATGTCGAGGATATTCTTTTGTTTATTTATGCAGTCCTTCAAGTTCAGAAAGCTATAAAAGTATTAAGATTGCATGGAAAAGCAGCGTTCTTTGGTATTTGCAATATGCATACATCGATGAGTCGAGTTCACCAGACCTCGAATATTTTCCCGCTGCGATGTTACGCATCAACGAAAAATTCAATATCTCCGGATTATCAACATTCCAGAGTGTTGACACCTCTGTCAGAGTGCTCTGCTTTACCATTACTATAACATTACCGTCTCTTTCTCGAGCACGAGATTCCTCATAATCCTCTTTCAGTTTTTCATTTTCGAATACCGCGTAGTGTCAAATAAGAATTACACGAATAGGTTTACATTCCCAGTGGTTTTTAGTGTTCGGAGATGTGAGTGTGATTAATCTGTGAACAATTTTTTGCATCCTTCTCGTTCACCCTTTTTATAAGAATTGAGATGTAGTGCTTTTAAATATTCCGGAAAAATTCAAATTGGAGGTACTTGGAAAATTATTTTAAAGAGTGAACTCAATGTGAGTGTAGGTAAAATAATGGTTCAGATTCCAACCTGAAAACTCAGAGAATGAGATAGGATATTTTAAACAGTTAAAAAGTAATATGATTGTATTCTATATTAAACTTTACTCAAAGTTTCAATGTACTTTAAATGTTTCAAACATTCGAGGATGATAAATATTAAGTAAGGATAACGTACAATACATCATTATATAGAAAGTTCTTACATTTTTATTTTGTGAAATAAATTTGCAGCTGCTCATTCCATTCCAAAATATTTTCAATATAGATATTTCTGGTTATAAAATATTTTAAAGTTACTTTAGGCGTATATTTGAAATATATCTTGCTTGTTAAATTTAAAATTTAATTATTATTCCATTGTATATTTAAAGAGTTCTAAAATTTATTTCAATATTATACTTTCAGATAACACAGGAGGCATAAATGAGAGAGTAGAAAAATGAGTTCTTTGCAACAAGGTAGCAGATTCTTGCCTTTTTCAAATAACAATATACAAAGGAAACAATTATCAATGCAAGGTACAGATTATTTAAAAACATTTTTGTTTTTGTATTTATAGTATTGATTTATTTGTTATTATATTGAGTGTGTAAGAGATTATTAATAGGTAACAATTTTTATGATATTTTCATTATGTATTTGGCAGGTGGTCTTCCACAAAGCTTAAGCGGTAGTGAAACCGATGTTTCAACATCCAATGAAAACTTAACCAATGAAGATCGCTATGTAATAAGGCATACAGCTCGTCAAGAACCTCAAGGTCAAGAGAATCAGCAGCAAAGTCCATCCAGGTCTTCCAGTCACAAAGAAAATATACCAAATATACAAGTAAGTATACATTCATTATATTAGAGTAAGGAATAAAAACATTAATTAATCGTGTCAATAATGCTTTATATTTTTTTATTTAAAATACATTTAAAAATTTTTTAAATACTATTATACCCGTTAAAAATGTTTTTAATTATTTTTGTTATATATCACACTGTAATTTACATCACATTCTATTGTCAATGATATAGGCGTGGATGTTGCCTAATACTAACTTTCCTATGTTATTCTTATATATCACAAGTTACAACAATCAGAATGATTAAGTTACATAAGTGTAAACTGCTTTATTGCAATCCAGGGTAATCTGCTCAATAGAAACAGTTTGAAGGACAGTTTGAATGGATCGAACAGAAACAGTTTGAAAGAGAATTTGAATGGTTCCAATCGAAATAGCCTTAAAGACAGCATCAATGGTTCTAATAGAAATAGTTTGAAGGATAATTTAAGTAACCGTACTAGTGTTGGCTCAAATAGGAGTAGTTTGGATGTGTCTACAAGTTCATATAATACACTCATCATACATAACGCTAATGATGACAATTCATGGGTACCATCTGGAAGGTAATACAGATTTTATTTGTAACAATGCATAATGCATCTTAAAGATTTTGTGTAAAGTTTCATTTAATCAATATTAATTATCTAATACACAGGTTATCAGGTGTAGTAAGAGAGCACGGTGATATGGGTTACTTGTATTGTGACGGTGGTGGAAAAGGACATTCTAACAGTCCTACTATGCAGTCCTTATCAAATTTATCGCATGAAGATCATGTTTATGAGCAACCTACTAATGGAGGGTGTCAAGAAATTACAGACATACCAGATGATTATTTGAGTCAATCACAGGTGATTATAACATGCACGTCAAATATGTACTTGCAATTTCCAAAGTATCGTAACAATGATCATTTTATGAAATCGATATGTTATATATTCTGTTTTACACTAAGCAGGTTTTAAAACATCTTGCGAAAGAAGTGAAAGTACCATCATATAGTAAACTTGCAAATAATGGTGGAAATATAGACATGAGAATGAGAGAAGGTGATAGAGGAAAACAAAACGACAGTGAATCTGAAGACAGACCACCACCTTCATACATGTCTGTTCTGTTACCATTGAAAAACAAATCCAGACTTGTTGGACCAATAGAAAAGTTAACATTATCAAGATCACAGCCTGATTTGTCTAGAATTGGCAAACCAGATATTGACAACTATAACTTACGAGCTACTTCTCCACGGTACGTGAAAGAAAGTAGTTAACAAATTTGTGATGAACCATGTAGTAATTTAAATATTATTTGTAGACCTCAAACAAAAGGGAGGGAAGAGACAGAATCTGCGACTGGTGAAATCTGGCCTCCATCGGAAATGATTCAGATTGTAATCCAAGAAAACAGTGCCTTAAAATTAGAATTAGAACGATGTTATAATAAGGTCGCCAAATCTCAAAAATTGGAACAAGAAATTGCGAAAGTGCATAGAGTGCATGAGGAATTAGCAGCATCCTGCGAACGAAGAGAAAAACTGGAACGCGCTGCTAGATTGAGGCTACAAAATGATTGCAGACGATTAACCGAATTAAACCGCGCACTGAGAGATCAGATAGATTTACTATCTGCACGCACCGATAGCCCGCCTATTGTGGAATCTATGAGGAAAGAATTAACTCAACGTGAATTACTAATTGCACAATTGATTACGCAAAGTACGTTCTCCTATCCTCCGTTTACATTTATAAAAATATCGTATGCTTATTTTTTAGTTAATTACATTTTGCACGATTTTTATTCCAGATAAAGAATTAGCTGCAGCGAAAGAAAGACAAGAAATTGAATTGGCTGCGCAACGAGCAACGTTACAAGAGCAACGTACACACATAGATATTTTAGACACGGCCCTTACTAATGCTCAAGGCAACGTCGTGCGTCTTGAAGAAGAAGTAAATGATTTCAATTAGACTACTAAAAGCTCGTAACTTTGATGTAACAGTGATATTCTTTTTTACAGTGTCGGAAAAAACAAGTGTACGTAGAGAGAGTAGGCCAACTTCAACGAGCTCTGTCTTCTCTTCAAGCGTCCAGTGACAGAAGAGAAGAAACAGAAAGACAGTTAAGAGGTCAATTAGAACGGGAATTAAGAGAAGGCGGCGGTGGTGGTGCTAATGGTACCGAACAATCCTCCAATGGGGAAACGATTGCAGAATTAAAACGACGAATACGCGAAAGAGACGAAAAAATCATGTCACTAGAGGGTGACGTTGCGAAATGGGAACAACGTTATCTCGAAGAAAGTGCACTAAGGCAAGCCGCGATTGATGCGGCTAGTCTCCCGAAGTAAGTTTTTTCATTGAGCTAACAATATTTATGGAATATATAAATAAGTAATGTGAATATGTAATCACTGGTTTTCGATAATTAGGGACGCTAAAATAGCTGCGTTAGAGAAAACGAGTCAAGATGCAGAGAAGTTAATTGCTGAAGCTCGTTCCGAAAAAATGAGACATATGGATGAAGTACATGCCGCACAAAAGAAATTAGCTGATCTTGAATCTAGGTATCACTTCGTAATAAATAGCTAAAATACATTTTATATGATCACTTTAGATCGTGTATAATTGATATAATTCATATTATATTTTTACAGAATGAAAGATCTAGAATCGAAATTGGCTGAAAGAGATGCAATGATTAGAGTCCTCCAGAAACACACATATGATAAGGATAGTAGTAGCAGTAGTGGCGTTGGCAGCTATCCTGCTGCTCATTCGTCGCATTCAAGCACATCGGCAGATCATCACACTGCGCTTACAAGCACGCCAGAACTTGGTAAATGTATTTTAATACTTTTATTACATTTTGTATGAAATTGTAGATTTTAACTAACGTTTAAAAATTACAATATGTTATAAGTTAATGATTAATCACTTATAGAATTAAATACTAAAATCTTTAATTTCTATATTTAAAAGTGAGTAGCGTATTGGGTGGAGGCAGTGGTTATGGAAGTACTGGTTCTTACGGTGTTACGGACAGTTATAAATACAGGAAGCAAGGCAGTTTCGAGCAAACAAATAAAAGTCTTGATGATCAGTTAAAAGAGCTAGATTCCCAGCTGCTTAGCAAGGTATGCACAATACAAGTAAATGTATAATTTCGAAATCATTAGAATCATTTTTTAAAAGTAAGAATTGTACAAAGCACGTATAAAAATAGTGAAAGTAATTTTATTTATTCTCTATATCTTAGTTATTTCACAGAATTTTACTTTTCATACGTGTCATCTGCGGACTGCAAAATATTTTTATTTTTCGACGATTGTATTTTATATTCTTTAGCATTCAGTTCATAGCTACAACTACAGAATATGAAAATATTACTCATTGTACGGTTGAAGGTATTCGAGTGTTATGTTTTAGTTAGTAGTGTAGTTGAGAATGGTTAATGTGTTTTTTTTACTTAAACACTACACTATTTAATTTTTTTATTAACTATTTTATTACTTAGTAATTTAATGAAATTATTGTTTGGAACAGAATGAATATTTGTTTTAATATTTTCAAACGGGCGAAAGAAATTATAAGTGTTCGAAGTATTACGATTTATGAAAAAATGTGTAGATGTTCATGTAAAAGTCATTGAGATTATTAATAATCCAAAATGACTGATTTATTTCATTACTGAAGTAGTGAAGGTTCCCTTAACGCATTAACTATTCTTATATTGTTCTTACGATTGCTATTATTTGCATAACAATGTGTGCTCTATTAATTCATTATTTCTGTTAAAAAATGTATATTTTCATTTATTTTATTAACAGGAAATATAGAGAGTAAGCTTTTTATTATTTGGCACAATTTTTCGTTATGTATTTTGGATTAAAAGAATAACGTTACGCCCATTTAAGTGTCAATAAATAGAAAGTGAACTCTGTATAAGATCTCAAAACTTTTTGTAGGCAATATGTAAAAAATGCATTCATCATTTATTTTTATTCGCAAACTCAGTAAATTGTATTTTCGCTAATATAACTTTTTGTGTGCCATTGATTTTTGCGTTTTACAATTAACTACACAGTTTCGTAACATATTCTAGTTAACCTGAAGAAAGATCGATTTGAAATGTTTTCCTTTATTTAAAACTCTTTGATCTCCTTAAAATGGCATTCGTAATAAAACACGTTGAAACAAAATCATTGTTGATTCGTGAATAGCGTCAAACAAAAGACCCACGTATTCACAGTTATCAAACTTCAATTTCTCTATACACAATCGACCAAAAACCCTCTAGCGTAGACTCCAATTCATAAAATTCTCGTTACAATCGAATCGAATCTTTTTTCAGTTCAATCGTAGTTTAATCAACGAAACCAACATTTCTCATCCTACTCCCCATCTAAATCAAACTAACCCGGTCCGTCCTAATCCCGAGTGATCCCAGAGTGTGCATGCGCTGTTGTGGCGAGCACTAACCCCGTTCCAGGTCCCGGAATCTCCTCTCCAACGCAGCCGTTCTGTTGTCTTGTTTCAGCGGGCACTTTGCTGTTTTCCAGGATTCTCTAATCCAGGCACTGCGTCGCGAAAAGGAAAAATACCCAAGCCATTATTGGCGGGTGTAGATAGCACAGGTACTTCGAGCACAGCCTCAAGCAAGAGCCGTCTGTTGGACGATTCGGGGGGCGAGGTCTCGCCGGGTATAATGGAATTCGCGAGTGCAGCCTCGAGGCTGAAAGGCACTGTGTCGAGATTATCGGATGGCAAGCCCGAGGACATGATGCTGCTGGAGAAACAGGGTCGGAGCTCTCAAAGGCAGAGGATGCAGGAGGGTGAGCCGCGTCGCGCCGGCAGCCTCCCGCCCAGCTCGTTGCCGCGACCGCCGAAAGCGTTGAAGTCTACCAACTCCCGTTACTGCCGATTGAGCGATACGGAGACACGCAAGAAGTCGGATCCGGGCCCGGCTCTGGACGCGTCCGCCAACATGAAGGTGCGCGACGCGGCCAACTGCACCATCGAGTACGGCAGATTCGACACGAAAGCGCAGCGCAGGAAGAAGTCGTTCGGCGCGGAGCCGCTGGTCGCGAACAGCACGCCGAAGAAGCCCTCCTCTTCGGTCGGTCACGAGTACGAGCGCCTTCAGGGCGAGAATCTCCGCAAGAAACAACCCTCCGTGAACGCGGAGGTGAAGCACAGAGAGACGCAGAGCCGCTCGCTGATACCACCGCCGTCTCGTCGCATCGGGGAGTACGGTCGCCTCAGCGAAGGGACATTGAGGAAACAGACCGGTTCGAGGGGCCAGAGCACCGGCAGCACAGTGAGCAGCAAAAGCGGAGGGCGCGACTCCGGCGGCACAGCCAGCAGCGAGGCCTCCACGTCGTCGCTACCGCCATCCAAGGCGAGATCAATACCGCGCCCCAACAATTATCGCATTCAATTTTGATTCGTGGGAGTCGGGACCGATCCACGCTGCTCTTCGAAAACGGAAGCTATTTGACGGAGAATGTATCGGCTTCTCGTTGATTTTATCTGTTGATAGGTTGGAGTTGAATCAGTTTTTCACGGGCTACGCGCCACGTCTGTTTCAATGGGTTTTGTAAGTCTGTCCTGGGTCACTGGTGACCTGGAATCTTGTACGTTAGGAATGTTTGTAACGTATCACATGGTCGTGCCGTGAATTGTTTTTTCAAAAGAAATGGGGAGCCATTTAACTTAAGAATTAAGCGAAAGTTTTGGGTAGATTTTATGGGAACTTTGTTCTTGGTCACCGGTGATCCACGCGGCATGAAATTGCGTAGATGGTACCACTCTTGTATGGAATTCTGTTTCCGATTAACATTCGCTGGGGATTTCAAAGAAGAACGACGAGACCGATCTAGCTGAGTAATAAAGCGAGCACTAAACAGCGTTTAAAGTGAGATGGTATATTGGAAATCGATGTCGATTGCTAAATCAAAAGCGAGACCAGCTTTTCGAGCACCTTTTGCTTCGTTCTTCTGTAGTTCGATTGCATAGAGTCCTAAACATGCGTATATGCGTGAGCAATACGTAAACAGCCATAATAATGAAGCGCTAGTTCCCTTCGCCACTGTTAAGCGGGCGAGGGAAATCGCACGATATAGCGCAGTCGTTGGTATATTGTTGCGTAGCGATAGTGCATGACCTAGTCATTACCAAAGTAACTTCTATTATGAAATGGAATTGATTTCCTCTCATTTTCGTATACACCGTGCCTATGTCTCGGAACACTGTGGCCTTATCAAATGTGTATTCATTACAAAAAAAAATCGTGTGCCTTGTAAGACTGCGTAAATGCTCGGTATAACTATAGTCTAAGGGAGTACGTTCAGGAACTTTTTGAATTAGGGGGACGAGTGTATTCGGAGGTTATAGTCGGATCAAAGTCAAATGGTCGGTCAGGGCTATAGAAATCTTACCACGTCTTCTCATTAATTTAGCTCTTAATTTTTCTACACTTTTAGCAAGTCTTCTGGAATGTTCGAAAAGGGAATCGATCGGCGTTCTCACGTTTGATAATTAGACGGACATGAAGAATCCATGTTCCTATAAATAAGCGGTCGAAAAAGTTCGTTAAAAACTTTTAATGCTCTGGAATCTCATAAGTTTTAATTGAATTATTTTTATTCGACGTCTTTCGTGACGGTTCATTTTTAACTACGAATTAATGCTTTTAAAAGGTAGAAGATCTGCGTGTTCCATCGATGCAAAAAGTAAAGCCACACTCGAAGTGGTTGGATCGGTGTAAGTGATCCTGAGTAGCCAATTGAGTTTGCTCCGACCGCAGATTATTTTTCGAACTGTATTTGCTCTTCCGCCGAGAATATCGCATTTTTTTTTGTGCGTGCCTTATGAAAGCATTTTCTACTGAGTATCTTTGAGTCCGTTTCCTGTCGGAAACGCTGCAAAGATACGAAGCGATCGGTTCCGCTTTTCCCTTGGAAAAGCGGAACTCTACCATTCGGAGAATATGAAACCGGCGTCCGGTTGCGCAGCGAGGGATTTAAAATAGGTTCTATATTTTCTGTAATCATAACTTTTTTTTTTTTTT